CTCGTCCAACGCGAGTGCTAGAATGTAGGTATGTACGTGTAAGCATGTATGCATGTATGTAGGTATGCAGGTAGTCAGGCAGGTAGTTAGGTAGGCATGTACGTACGTACGTACGTATGTATGTATGTATGTATGCATGTGTGTATGTATGTGTGTGTCTGTATGTGTGTATGTATGTAAGTATGTAGGTAGGTATGCAGGTATGTAGATATGTGGGTATGTAACTATGTAGGTATGCAGGTATGTGCATATGCATGTGTGCATGCATGTGTACGCATACCTATGTACATACGTACATACATACATACATACACATGCACGGAGCTATGTGTCAGTAGAAAGAACAGTGTAGGAAGCTTCAGAACGAGCAGATCCCGTGGAGGCCTTCGAGCGCCTCTTCTGTCGCCTAGAAACAACGGAGGCCAGAGGCGGTCAGGTTCTTTGCTTGGTTTGGAGAGCTCAGGAATTGAAATCGGGAGGGTAGAGGCGCCTTCCAAGCAATTTCGACACCTTTTGAGGCTTTGGGTCCGCGCGACGGCTAATTGAACTGTTGACCGATCCGCGATTTCCAATCAACTTCCGGCCACACAATCCGAGAGAACAGTGTCTCGATCCAGACACTGCTCCGCTCCAGGGTTGCATCAGCGCCCTAAGCTTGGCCTATGCCGTCAAGCGAAGTTGGCTGCATCGCAGGCGGGGCATCGAAACTCGGACTTCAGGGTTTCCCGGTCAAGCTGGGCAGTAAGGGCAGCAGTCGAGCCCCTTGTGAAAAAGGGCTTCCCGATCTTGGCATCGAATTCCGAAAGGGCAGGTAGACTGTTGAGGTCGGGAGGCATAGAACCCCGGGCCCGTGTTGAAGCTTGTTCTTCAGAGACCGAGCATCAACATCCGAGCCACAGGCACCTCGGAGCCCTGTCAGCACAACAAGAGTCCCATGCTTGGAGCACACGCGCACGGAGGGGGGGGGGGTTATTTTTTAGAATGGGCTTCCAACATTAACATGTCAGCGTTGCAGCGCCTCTAGGTCCTTTTTCTGACGCACGAAAGGTGCGGCGTGCTGGCTGGCTGCCTTGGCATGTCTGACAGGCTCTCAAGAAGACCATACACTACAAAAAAGGTCACCGTATGCAACTGGCAGGTACCAGTCACTAAAACCCCTGACCCCTCAGCTCAGGCCACAGAGTGACCCAAGTTGAGCCGTAGTCATCTTTCAGACAGGTCTTTGGCGCGCGGTCAGACGCACGGCTCACTTCCAGTTTATGTGAGTAGATGTCATGACTTGTTCGGTTCGCGGCAAGCTGAAGTCCCGATGCCAGAGAGTCCGACAGTTCAACCGGACGGACAATAGCCAGAGAGGTGAGAGCGAAGTGCGAGGTCTTGCCTGTAGCTTTTTGAGCTTTCATTCCGGGTGTGCAGCTTCAACGATCATCTCGACTGCCTTGAGATGTCGGGTACTTTGGTGCTACCTGTGCTGAGGATGATGTTTTCTTACTACTGCCGCCAGCGCGACATGGCGCCGGCGACTTACAGTGCGATCTAGCAAAGCTTGGCCGCTGCTGGGGGTCAAAAGGGGTGTTCCTGCTCACTTTCGCCTCCGGTTGTTTTCAGGGTTAGTGCGACGGTGCTCAATAATGATGTAGCATGGGAGCGACTCTGGCAGTTAATGTTGCCATGTGCTTCCCCGCCCCAACCTCCGGGGGTCGGGTGTTAAGAGCGGTGTGGGTTGGTACTTTCTGGCCATGTAGGTAGTAGTCAAGTAGTACAGTAGTAAGACAGTCGCTGTGTAGTAGTAGTAGTAGTAGTAGTAGTAGTAGTAGTAGTAGTAGTAGTAGGGTTGTAGTAGTTTTGTAGTACAGTAGCAGTATGGCAGGTTTATTCACTAACATGCTTACGACAAGTTCGGACTAGTGTGCCTTTTCAATCAAGTGCCTCAGTCGCATGCTCAGAAGCCGGAAGCACTGTCTCGAGTACAGAGCTAGCTGGCGGACGAGCGGCTAACTACCAGGCGTTCTTGCTTGCAAGCCTGCAGCAAAAAAGGGGTACCTAGAACTGTTTTGGGGGTTTGGGGGGCGCCAAAACCTCGAAGCCGCACCCCGACCACTCCAAGACAACTACCAATTTTTACAAACCCTTTAGAGTCTAATAGAGGGGAAGACTTTTGCTTCATCCTACACTCCCCCGATCGACCCAACTGAGGCCCATCGAAAATGTGTTTTTTTTTTGGCCTGCTCGTATCCTCTACTCAGCTATGAATGAAGAACAGTTCTGGGCGCTCATGGTAGAGAACGGCCAAAAATCATACCAAATCCTGAACAGGTGCCGGGGAAACACATTTGAGACGGTCATCTACTCAAAGAGCGCGCAAGATTGATTGCACAAGCTCGCTCCTACCGTTTCAGTTTCAGATGCTGCGTGCTCACTTGTGCAAACCCCTTCGGGAGCGTTGCCGAAACTCCGAACTTTGCTACACTTTAAAGCACAGATGCATCGGAATTGTGACGGCTGATGTCTGTGCTTCGATGAGCTGCCTAACGGACAACCAGAGATGTTGCCGGGGGTTAAAGTTGGTAAAGAAGTCCGAACTGCTAGGTGTCAGCCGAAAAGAGTAGATTCTTGCCTTCGGGATCCGAAAACCTTGCGTGGTAAGGCCCTCGGTGATCTGGCACATCTTGGAATTCGTTGGCGACGCTATCTATTCCGAGGACGTGGGGCGATGGGATGAATAAGAGCCGTCATACGGGGCGGCACAAGACGCACTCTCGACTCACACTCTGATCCTGTTCCTTCCTTCCTCCCTCCGTCCCCTCCCTCCCCTCCCTCCTGCCTTCCTTCCTTTCTTCCTTCCTTCAGGGGGCTTCGCACCTCTGCGACAGTTTGTTTCCCCTCACTCACTCACCCACCCACTCACTCACTCCACTCACTCCACTCACTCCACTCACTCCACTCACTCCACTCTCCACTCACTCACTCACTCCCTCTCTTCTCACTCTTTCTCTCTCGTTGTCTTGTTCGCTCGTTAAGCAGAGGCAAGCCTGAAAGCTCTAAGCTGACATCTCTGGCCCTAGATTTCGTTTTTCGTTCACGACTTCTTCAAGCATTGGCTCTTTCATATGCCGTTATTGTAGATGTCAGTGTTGTTGCTGCCGCTTCTCTGATGCCGGATGAGTGAGACGTAGTGGTAGTGGAAAGCGTCCACGAGGCCTTCTTGCCCCGAAGGTCATGCTGAAGTACCGCTGGATTTTGAGCAGTAGCATCTTCCGCTGCCCTGCAAGCCGACGCCAAGCGGACCCCCGGGCCAGAAGCCACGAGCATCGCAAGAGCAGCTGCAACATCAAAAAGATGCATCTGACAGCGCGATAGCACGACCTGGCTGTTTGCAGGATGAGACTTCCACCCAGAAGGCCGGTCGTTCTTCGGTTTCGGCGTTCGTTTTGGGTTCGGGACCCACGCGAGATTTGGGAGCGGTGCGAAGGCCAGACTTGAATCGCAGCAGCTCATCTCAGGTATCAAATTAAGCTGTGGCGAGTCCAGCTTCGAGCTAACTGGACTCTGCCCGACATCCTTCCACCTCCAAGCATTCCACAAATTAGGTTTCCTCCAACTTCTGGGAATCGGGAAAGCACCCTACACCCTAAACCCCAAACTACGAAGCCGCTAACACATGCAGAATTTTGCGCTCCAAGTCAAGAAGAAGATGACCCGTCGGCAAGAAGCTATCATGTCATAAGACCGTCCATGTTCCTGGCTGGTACGGTGCATGTAGGTTTCGGAAGCTCCGGACTCAAGTTTCTGGGGGGTTGTTCATCCGTGGCCAATGCGCAAGGAATCTGCCAGCAGTTCCCTGACAAGCATCGACTTTGTAAAGAGAAGGCTTTTACAATTCTTGCAGCCTTGCTGACCGGCCAGCAACATTGGTCAAACGATGGCTTTTCCTCGTACGGGAAATCCGCAGCATCGGGAGTTCCATGCATCTAATGCCATCATGTGCACCCCGCTCGAGCATGCCATCGGTCGTCAGGTTGCAAACCGCATTCTGTATTGGCTGGATATCAGAGTGCGGATCGACAGTCCTATGTAGATGATCGTCCAGCCAGCCCCGTGACGGCGTCAGAGTCTCGCGATGTCTTTTGCATGATTCTGGTACAAGCCTTTGAGCATATCTCGTGGGGAAGTTTGAGCGAGCCGGCCGCCGTCTGTTCACCATTCCTCTCTTTCAGGTAGAGGCCAATCCATCCGTCCGTGAATCATCGGAGATGGCTCGCGGCCATGGCATATGCTGAAGAAGCCATTTCCAACTTCCAAGTGTTTTTGAAGCTACAGGCTTCGACGATGATTGCTGCGTTTTTTTTTTGCGCATCCCCGGATGCGTCACGTGAACAAACGGCTCGTCACGCTAGGGATTGTTTGATAAATCAGATTTGTACAGACAACGTGCCAGTGACTCGCGCCCGGCAAGCAGCCAAAAGCTTTCAGGCTTCGGTCTCGGTCCGATGTGGCTTTTCCATTTAACTTACCTAGCAACCTAGTGATGAAGCAAGTTGAGTTTTTTCGGATGGTCAGGAGCTAGCTAGTAGTTGTTTCCGACTGTGGCAAGTAGCGGCTGCAATAAAGGTCGTGTGCTTGAGAAAATTTGTGGGGGCACGCTGAGATCCCAAGAAGATCCGGCACTCCAGAGCACATCTTGACAAGAGGCATCAGTCTTATCCACTTGTGAAGACAGCTCTTGCGACTGCGGGGTTCTGTCGGAGAGCTCGGGTTCGCACACGGAGACAGGCCCCGGCTGCTGAAAGCAATGCCAACCCGTGGCTCCCTGAGATGTATTTGCCCTTCTGCAGGAAGCTCTTGTTGCGTGCTTCGGGGACCCGCCTATTTCTTTGCTATTTCCATCGCCAGTAGTCTGTTGTTGTGTTTATCAGGATTGCTCTCTTACTCATGCCCTTCCAGTCTTCCAGTCACTAAGATTTGGCCGCAGCCTCTTTTGGGTTTAGCGGGCTGCAAAGATGGAGCCCCCAGCCACGCCGCCACAGAAGAGAAAGCCGCGTCCCCAATCACGGGATTAGTGGGCAGTTTCTGCAGTGTCACCTTCATTTACCTGGGCGTGGCCTAGTTGCGATCTGTTTTCAGGCTTGGAGACGAAGCGCCGAGCCCGCCGAAGGACGTCGACGATGTCGCGCGGTCCGAGCAGCTTATGAACGCATGGCTCCTAGGTTGAGTCAAGGAGATGTTTCTCTGGTAAAGCGATGAAAGGTCCCGACAAACCTACACACCAAACTCCGCGATCCCTAGTGGCCCTAGTGGGTGTGAAATCACCCTAGTACTGCAAAGCCTTCCTCACCAGGCTTGTCCAAACCCTCTGCAGAATCCGACTTGCGAGAGTCCAAATCCCTGTGTGAGCGGAGCCCAGAACCCGTGAAAACTAAAGCGGCGCAGCTGTGCCAGACCCTTCGAGGCTGCAGCGACATCAAACGGAGATTCAGAAAGCGGAACGCATCTTGAGCACTTCGGCTGAAGACCGAAGAAGCGAGCATCAGTGTCTGCCTGCTGCTTATTATGCTAGTATCAGTTTGAGGACCCTGGATTGTCGACCTCATTACTTCATTTCTTCTTCTTGTTTTGGGTGCTTCCGCCGTTGTCGCGAGGTGCTCGTTGGTCGAACCCTGCTCTCTTCAAGGAGCGTCCGGAGCTTTGCGACGAGGTGCGAACCGGAGAAATGCTTCAGTAAACCTATGACTTTTCAGGAATGGGGGAGGGGGCGACTGCTGCCTGTTTGCAAAGTGCTGCATGGTTGACTGTGAGGTGCTCCAGGTGATGAAGCGGGTCCTGGGATTGGGCCCTGCAGGAAGTGCAAGCTCCGAGACTTCGCAGATTTAGTCAGCCGGCCGACAACAAGCAGAGCAATCATAGTGGCAAGCACGGTCATGCTAATGGTAATCATTGCGTCCAGCAGCATCGCATTCGTCGGAATCCCTCGGGCTCCAGTTGAGGCGGACCCCAGAACGCTTGAATTGGAGCTCTTGTGAAAACTCGAGCGAGGAAAGCAAGTCCTTGCTGCTCCTGGGCGAGAGTGGCTCCGGCAAGACCCAGGCGGTCGAATGGTGCCTTCAGCGCCTCAGGGAGGCCTCCGGAGCTGAGCTGAGCACAAGGGGTTCTGCAAAAAGAGAGGTCTTGCGAGCCTGAGCCAGGAGCGCTCCAACGTCGTCGCGCTGAGGGCCTTTGGGGTGCCTGGGATGCATTGAGCGCAGTGCCTTACATAGGCCCTGGGGGCCAGCCGAAACCGTCAGGGGGCCTATGATTCCAACATGGAGTGCCTGAAGCACCTGGCAACGCAAGTGGCCGCGCACTGCCTCTCAACGCCGCCCAACTCCTGCCTCGAGGGTTCGATGGAATGGTTTCGTGGCCTCCTCCAGGATAGGGGCCGGAGCCAAGCTTGCGCAAACTTTTCTTTGTCCCAACCCTTCCCGAGCTCCGGCCTGCCCTGCCAGGTGAGCTTCAATCATGACAGCGCTGTCGTGATCGTCCTGGATCAGTTCGAGAAGTTTTGCAGATTTACGCGCCAGACGTTGCTGTACAACCTCTTCAACCTCGCGCAGGAAATGAGCCCCTCGGCCCCTTTTGCGAATACCTGCTGTTTTTTTGTTGTCACCTGTCAGACCCGAACCAGCATCTCACCTCCGAAGTTTCCTTTGGATGAGGCATTCGGCTGTGCATCGTCGGCATCTCCTCGCAGTTTGATGTTTTATCAAAGCTGGAGACCCTTGTCGTCCTGTCGATGTTTCGTGTGTTGCATGCATGGAAAGTCTGTTGATTCAGCGAGGAGCAGTGAGCTGAGGAAGCGAATATACTCGCGCTTTCAGATGCACAGCATTTATGCAACCTTGCCTCGGTCAGCAGGTGAACTGCTGCAGATTCTGGAGTCTCGCCCCAGTGTGCGGCAACACCCCCTTTCTTTCCCTGCTCTCGGGCTCAGTGGAGAGCCCAAGCCGAAAAGTGCCCAACTTCTATCTGTGGCCGCGCTGAGGAATGCAGACTTCACCTGCCGCACAGCAGTAAGGGTCTGGACGATGCCTTTGTGTCGGAGTTCAACAGCAAAGTGTCAACTGCACTGAAAGCACGTGTACGCTTGCATGACTGGACCACGCTGCTTGGCGTCCGGAGCAGGTCAGCTAGCGTCAGGATTCTTGTAGAGACCAGGCTCGGACCAAGCAACTTCCTTGCTGAGGAAGATTGATGGTGGCTTCAAGCCCAGCTGGTTCCTCTGGAGATGCCTGCCAGTCACGAGCTTTCTGCGGGGTTCCGTTGCAGAGAAACGTCCGCGGGTATGCGGCCAGTTCGATTCTGACGAGCAGCGGCAAGAACTTCTCCTGTCAGGTGGGGGCTTTTGTGGCGTCGGGTGTCGCGGTTTTGCCGGCTCTGGTGCACGCGGCATCCCGCTTGTTGTCGAGGCTTGGTAGAGTGCGAGCACTTGATTCTCCTCGCGCTCTTCCGGCAATGGGACCACTCGCCGAAAACAGTTCGCAGTTTGAGCACGACGCTCTATGAGCTTAAACGATTGGTGGAAACGGAGAAAGGTCGCGATCTTGGAGGTGTCCTAGCAGACCACACCGACGTCAGCTTGACGGCGGCCTTCAGCCGGCTGCTGGAAATCAAGCTGGTACGATTCTGCCCCGGCTTGTCGGAGGACGTTCCGAAGATGTACCGCCCATGTGAAAGCATGGTGGACGAGGTCTATAGGAAGTGGGCGCCTTTGCAGCAACTTCAAACATCTGTCAATCCATCGTTTCGGATATTTTGTATGCATCTGTGCCAAGGTGGCAGACCTGCCAGAAAAGGCGCGGAAGGAGACGCCAAACTCACCCAATCCTCTTAGGCTATTGCCGGAGGGAGTTCGGATATGGACCCTCAGAGGGTGCAGGACCTGAAAAATGCCGAGAGCGGTGTGTGAGGAAGTTTGTTTTTTTCTTGAAGTTCCGGGGGCGCTGAGTTCGGGAACTCTTGCGCGTCTCACGCAGCAATGTTGAAGTCATTGCGGGGTGAAGCGTTGATGCTGGCGAGGTGAGAAAACAAAGAGAGTTGAGGAAGGTTCAACCCATCGTCCCAGAACTGGCTACTAGTAGCAGCGAGCTCCCCTCTTTGAAGGCTTCCGAAGCCTCGAATGTCCACATGGCATGGATTTGGAAGCTCTGCAGAGTGCCGATTTCAGGTCAGCTTCTGCGCTTCCTCAGGCACGCCAGGGATCGCCAGGGTGCGGGGAAGGGAGAGGGAAGGCACGATGGCAACGCTCCGAGGGTGGGAAACACTGACCAGGGGGTGGAGGCTGAATCAAGCATTTTTGGATCTGGTGTGCGTAGCACCAACATTTCTATTACTGACAAGACTAGTCACAAAAGCCGAGGTGGTAGGTGGCATACAAAGGCGGCGGCAGCAGCAGCGGCAGCAGCAGCAGCGGCGGCAGCAGCGGCGGCGGCAGCAGCGGCGGCGGCAACAGCAGCAGCAGCAGCAGCAGCAGCAGCAGCAGCAGCAGCAGCAGCAGCAGCAGCAGCAGCAGCAGCAGCAGCAACATCAGCAATGGCAGCAATAGCTGCACTAACAGCACTTACAGCAGCAACAACCACAACCACCACTACCACGATCACAGCATCTCAAAAAAGAAGCAACCACAACAACAGCAGTGGTAAATGCGGGGTTGCTTCCCGCCGCAGGCTTGCCCACTTTCTCGCCGCCGAAGTGATTGAGCTGAAAGCGTCAAAACACAGCTGCCGTTCAGGTTTTCCCCAATGCGTTTAGGGTTTGGGACTGGCCGTCTCTTGGCCTTTCGGGCTGGCGGCTGGCGTGCAGCGGATGCGATGACGAATCGGAGGCTAAGCGGCCAAGACGTTTGTTCGATGGCTGTCGGTTCAAGCATGGGAAGATCATGTGGCCACCAAGTACACATATTGACATGTGAATCTGGCACCACGGTGTCCCAAAAGTCGCCGCTAAGTGCTTCCATGCGGATATTGCATCTTGTCCCCATAACCACATGAAACCTCAGCCAGAAAGTCTCCACAGCTGCAGCTGATATTGCAACTGGTATTCATGCACTCGCCAAGCTATTATACCCATTCTAGCACCACCACGGGAGAAGCACTGACAAGAACAAAGGCCGGCGTCAGCAGAGAGAACCGAGATCATATAATCGTGGTACCCACCAAGTAGCACGTAAGTTAAGCATCACTCCGAGGCCCTCTGGGGCTAACACGAGATCTTCGGGCCGTTTAGGGGGTGGGATTTCGAGGCTTTCTAGGGCTCCGAGTTCCAGTTCGAAGCCATGGCGCCATGCTCGGAGAGGGCCTCGGAGTCGATTGTTGTTCTGCGGCCTTGAAGATGTGAGCGGATCAGCGAGTCATGCGGGGCTTCTGCTTCGAGGGCTCCGGAAGGTCTTGCTAAGGAGGCGTGGGAGTCATGTGCGTCTCGTCCGTAGGGGTAAGGCTCCGGCTCAAGACCGGGCCTGCCGTTCTAGGGGTCTTCTCCGCACGGCTGGACATGACATGATCACACCAATGTAAAAGTAGGAGAAAGCCAGCCAAACCCAAAGCCAGAATATGCCAGAATTAAGCCTTTCCGATGCTCAGCGCCTGCGCAACGATGGACTCCTCGCCGACACCTTGAGACAGATGCAGTGGGTGTCAAGTATCTGGTCTTCAGGCAGGAAAGACAAGCGTGGCTGATGGCTGAAAGGACAAAGGCATCAGCATTGCCCTCGTCCAGGTGCCAACAACAAGCCATATCGACCCCTCCTTCCCGGACCAGGGCCAAGTGAGACAGAGCCACTCGGCGATACTCTGGTCCTGTGACTTCAAAACCCAAGCTCCCTGTTGCAGGCCTAGCGCAGAGCGGGCCAGTGAGGCAGAGGCAGAAAGACGTCGACTCTTGGAAAAGAAGGGGGTCAATTGGCCGCCGTTGCTCAGTGACTTCGCTGCTTTGCGCCAAGGAGTCGCCCTGAATTGGCTCCTACAGGGCAACGAGGATGATGTCCGAAAGGTGCTCGTTGATCTGGCTGAACGAAAAGCTTGGCTCCTTCAGCAGGCAAGCGATTCTGTAAGCACAGCCAGGGAAACATGCCTCGGCCTTCCTGAGAATGAAGAGCGAATCTTTCTGATTTTGTATGTTCTGACACCATATACCTGCAAATATTTGTAAATATGTATATATATATATATATTTGCATACACACGGTCAGATTTATCTATGGATTTATTGATGTGTTTGTTGATCTGCTTATACATACAGGGAATGCGCTTACAGACAGACACAGCCGACAGAGACGACACAGACAGACAGCACTCAGGTGGTTGTACACATCTGCACATATGTGCACAGACACGCAGGCATGGTGTGTGTTTGTGGTGTATGAAGTCCATCTGTCTGTCTATGTGTTTGATTATGTGCCCCTATTAATGTATCTTCCTATCTGGCTGAATCTCTCCTTTTGTCTACCTATCTATTTATCTATCTATCTATCTATCTATCTATCTGTCTACCTCTGTAGCTGTCCGTCCGTCTGTCTGTCTGTCTGTCTGTCTGTCTGTCTGTCTGTCTGTCTGTCTGTCTGTCTGTCTTGCATCTATCTATCCATCTCAACCAATCAGTCAGCAATGCAGGAGGCAACCATGAATCAGTCTATCTGCCTACTTGTCTGTCTATCTATCTGTTTAGCTATCTGTCCGTCGGTCCCTCCATCCTTCAATCTGTCAGTCCGTCCGTCCGTCGGTCTGTCTGTCCATCAGTCCGTCTGTAGGTCTGTTTGTCTGCCTATCTGTTTATTATCTAATTTCTCTGTCTATGTGAATGTATGCATGAAGGCGTGTCTTTATTCCGAATTCTATGTGTGCATGCAAGCAGGGAGCTACCAGGTGGGTACCGGTAGGGAGGGTATACAGGAAGGTAGCTAGGCAAGTGGGTCTACGCCCTTTCATAGAAGTGTCTATACATGCTGTAGACACAAACATACATACACATTAGATGAGATGAGCAAAACCTCGAAACCCTAAATCGAGAAGCGAATGAAGCGAATTGTGTTTGCCGACAGCTGCATGTTGATCTGGTGCTTTGTTTCACGTTGCTGACTCGAACCACATGCCTCGCCTGGTTTGTCCGAGTGTGAGCGCCGAAATCGAGAAGCGCGACGGGATTGTGTGGAGCCTTGCCGGCCTTGTGCGAGCGTGAGAGTCGAAATCGAGAAGCGCCGGAATCCTGTCAAGACCACATGCCTCGCCTGGATTGTCCGAGTGTGAGCGCTGAAACCTTAAAGAGGTTCCCCGTAGCAATCTCGGACACATATTGTCATGCCTGCAGTTGCGAGTGTGGGACGCTTCTTAACCCTCCTTTTGGCTCTCTTGAAAGGGACCTTATTGACAGGGTCTATATCCCCAACGGTCTAATCTTAAACCCTAAAGCCCAAACCCTAAAGCCTGATTAAACACTAAACCCTAAACCATCTTGGCTTTGGTTGTTTTAGCAACTGTTTTCTTTGGCCCGACATGTAATATGTGTGCAGTGCTGAAGCCTTCTGACTGCTTCTTAGTGCAGGAGACAGAACTATGCGGAGCCTTGCCGGCCTTGTGCGAGTGTGAGAGTCGAAACCCTACACCACTTGATTGCAGACCTCGAACCATATGCCTCGCCTGGAGTGTCGAGTGTGAGCGCCGAAACCCTAAACCCTGTGTAAGCCAAAAAAAATCTTAAACTCCTATAGAGTTGGGAGCTGGGAAGGCGCTGGATGCTGCCACAGACTGCTCGAGCACTCTGGGCTCGCCGAGGAGCCCTCGGAGGCTGGGACCCCCTGGCTTTCGAATGCTGAGAATAACAATAATAGTAGTATCGGTAGTTAGAAGTAACAACAAGAGTAGTAGTCGGAATAGTAGTGATAATAATTGTTATGAGAATAATTGGGTCAAAGCTCTGGCTGCCAGGTACAGGCGGCGAAGCTACGGCAGCCAGTCGCTTGGCTGCGCTACAGTCTGGATTCCTGGATTCTTTTCTTCTGCGAAGACTCCGTCTAACATCCATGCAAGGCTGATGCAGCGCACCTTGCAGCTTGCTGCTTCCACACCGGTGCCGACGTTGCCTGCGAAGGCAGCGACTTTCAAGTCAATGAGAACGACCCGAACGGACATGACGCACCCTTGGGAAGACTGCATTGTGCAGTTTTCGTCACCGGTGCCTCGCCTCGTGAAATGGTGGCGCCGACGACCTCAAGCAGAAATGCACTCATTTCCGTCCCTCAGGTATACCTTGTTGAGGAAGATGATGGTGAGGTCGTGCTGGACATCGTGCGTGTTGGCCCCACGGTCGCTCATGTTGCACTTGGTGACTTCCTGGGGCATGTCAAGATGCGAAGCTGGATGGTTGCAGAACCGAGGACGAACCATGTCAAGTAAGCTATGCCACTCGCGACTGCTCTGCCAAAGCGGACCTTTCTTTCAAGGCCTCGAAAGTCTCTAGAGTCTCTGAAGTCTACGTCTAAGTTTCGGAGACTGCCCTTCGGCCCTTCCAGGCCACGGCTGGCACCGTGTATTATGAGCCTGGTGAGTTCAGCAAGTCCATTGCGGTGCCGCTAATCAGCAACACACGTGGCCCGGCAGCAGGCGGTATGTGAGCGGCTGCTTTTGGGACACCAGAGCAGGACGGCCAGGGCCGCTAGGGCTAGGGCCGCTAGGCCGCTAGGGCTGGGGATCTCGGGTTTCGTGGGTCCTCCTGGCTTTCCGAGCTTCTGAGGCTGGGACACGCACGTGGAATTTGCGGTGGAGCTGCTTGAAGAGGGTTTAGTGGGTGGTGTGCTCGGGCATTACCTGCACGAGACACGGGTGAAGATCATCGATGCTCGGCCGGTTTCATCTTGCAAGGACAGGTCACGTGGCTTTCAGGTGAGTGCAGCGAGTGACGGCCCCCCGACCGAGGATGATGATACTTTCCCGTCCACCCGCTTCAAAGACCAGGTCCTGGCGCAGGATTTCGACTCCATCCCCAGATCCCCTGGCTGCAAGAAGAGTGAGGCTGAAGCAAAGGCGATCAAGCAAAGGCGGGTCTTGGGCCTCAGAGCGCTTTCCCGTCTTTCTGGCTCCAAGTTCTTTGAGGACTGGGCCTGCTCTGGGAGTACATCTCACGGAATTTGGGCGAACCTCTGGTTCAACAGGGCACGCGAAAGATGCTCCTGCTGGCGGTGCTGGACAGATCCTCGGATGCAACGGAGAGCTGGGCGCTTCAAAAACCCTCAGAAGCCTCCGGGCCAGGTCTCTTCTTGATGTTCAAGCTCCTTCTGAACCTCTACATCTTGCAGTTCGTCTTAAGCCAAAACTTCCCGGAGGAGGAGCTGCTGATAGTCCAGGAGACCTGTCCGAGTTCCGGCCCCCTTTTCTGAAGCAGCGTGACAGATCCATCTGGCCTCTAATACCGTGTGATGTGTCTCGTAGACGCAGTTCTGCTTTCCGGCATGACTTATCGGACCAGCTCCTGAGCAGTTTGGCGTGGGAGGGCGGCAATTAAAAGGGACAGCCAGTGTGAAAGAAATGTTGCTTTCCCCTGGGTCTCAGGATCGAGTACGCTTCTTGTACTACTCCATGGCCTGCTTACTGCTGTGGTTCGGCATTCAGCCACTCATCTGCGAGTATGAAAGTCTACAGTCTACAGTTGGTTTGCTTTCAATACCCAGTCCCGTTCGTAGACTGAAAGTTTTCACGGCTGGAAACAATATCACCCAGGAGTCTTGAGTTTCCAAGCACTGAGGCACTATTTGCACTACTTGCAGCCTTCTTGGAGGGTGGCTGGACTCACTCGGGCGGCCTTGGCCTTGGTTGCCAGGATTTGCCAGGCCTTAGAAGCACACGGCGCGGAAGCCAGCTCATTGGAGTTGGGCTAAGGGGTGCAAGCGAGCCCTTTATCAGCTTCTACTCACGTGCTGTCCTGACTAGAATGACTAGAACTTCCCCTACAGTCTGCCGACCTCTACTTGTTGTCTGTGCCTAAGTAACGTTCCATGTCATGTGTATTTGCTTCTCCGTGCACCGGTGTTTGTGCGTTTTCGGGTCTGGAGGGTCTTGATGTCTGCGCCTGCGTGCATTCGTCTCCCTCCACCTCCGTCTGATTCTGTCTCTCTACAGAAGGCGTGAGCTTGGAAACCTGCTGGTCCCCACATTGGCAAAAGTTCATCCCGGTCATAGGACATGCAGTTTCGTCTGACGTCGTCATGGCCACCGATTCCTGCATGACCGCCTGTCCGCCTGCATGCCTGATTTTCCGTCCATCCCTTTCTCTCTTTCTCCCCATCCCCAGAGAGAACCATTGCAGAGTGCAACAACGACAAGGTCCTGCAGACGGGGCTTCTCTCCAGCTTTCTGCTGCTTGGCTAACTCATGGTGTTCCGTCTCATGCCCGGCAAAAACTGAACGGGTGCTTCCTTGAGGAACTATGATGAGGAGTCGCGGAGCACTGTCGACACCGGCGGCTTGGTTCTCTGGTCATGCTCGACGAGTGGGTGGGCATGGTGCTTGTTTGAGTCATCTTTGAGCACATGTAAGGACAGATAGGCATGGCAATGATCCACGATGTGCCGAATTTGGTGAACAACGGAGCCTCGTCGGATGGTTGAGACCGAGTTGCCTCGAGGGTCGTCGTAGGGGCCAGGCACCGGTGTCACTGGTGTCTGTAGCTTGGGGGAGAGAGCAGAAACTGGACCGCATGCAGGATTCCTGGGTTTGGTCGCCCTTCTCAGCGCGGTGACTGTGCTGAATGTCAGTGCCGTGAAACCAGTCCAAAGAGTCAATCGGGGCCTTTGAAGCCATGCCTATCCTATCCCACGAAGGCACCAGCAAGAGCCGGCCAGGAAGTGGTGCATCTTAGGTGTTCAAGCTGATGGTAATGCTTGCCTTCCAGATAGTGGTGCCGCCGATGTTGGGCAAAAGCCCCACCTGGCTTGGCCCAGCCCTTGGTCTGTTTGCAGATTGCACATTCCACCAGCTACTATGCAATACAGAAAGCACACACACACACACACACTATTCGATTTGTAGCACCGAACCGCTTATTGGATGCTCATGTATGCATGCAGGCATGGATGCGTGTGTGTGTGTGTGTGCGTGTGTGTGTGTGTGTCTGTGTGTGTGTGTCTGTGTGTGTGTGTGTGTGTTTCCGTACGTATTGGTAAAGAATTACCTGTACCTGCCTGACTGCCTGGCTGCTGGGCTGCCTTCCTGCGTGCCTTTCGAGCCGGCTGGCTGGCTGCCTGAGTGGATGACTGATTGACAGGCGACTGGCTGACTGATTCATTATCTAACTAACGAACAAACGAACGGACCAAAGATTGAACGGACTAACTACTTCGCGTACACTCAACCTACCCTAACCAGCTTTAACCAAAGCAAACCACACTAACCAAACAAGCTAAGTAATCAACGAACTCACTGACGGACCAACCGACAACAAGTAAGTAAGTAAATAAGTAAGTAAGTAAATAAGTAAGTAAGTAAGTAAGTAAGTAAGTAAGTAACCATGTGATTTTGTAGCTAAACAATAAGTAGCTGCCAAAACCCATGAACTGATTATTTGACTGTTAGTATGTCTGCTTGACCGACAAACTCGCTCACTCACTGACTGACAACTGATCGACTGATGAGCGAACGGAGTCGGACGGATTGACTGACTAACTGAGCAAGTAAGTAGACGCGACACAAACAAGCAGATCGACACGCTGTAGCTGTAGCATATCTATACATGCAGTGCGCACAGAGACACACCCACACAGGCACACACACACACACACATATATATATATATATATATATATGTATGTATGTATAGACAGTACAGCAGCGTAGAATATAGCATTCTATCAAAAGTGGTAGGATAGCAAAATAGAACAGACGCAATGCAATGGCGTAGCATATTATTCTTCATTCTAGGTACATAGATAAAAAAAATGTGTGTATATATATATATATGTGCATACCGATATGCTTATGTCTGCATATATGCATTTGTATATGCATACGTATATTCGTGTCTATGTGTATGTGTACTATATATGCACATACATGCGCAATGATTATGTTTTCTTTCGGTATTATCCCTACCTATCGCAACTTAGAGTGGACTCGGGAATTCTCAATGTCTAGACAAGGACAGCTGCAGTACATGTGGTATCATCATTGCGCAAGTGCGACTGAGGTCTGGGTCCTGCCCTATGCATTCCGCTCATTACGTGCCTTTGGCTCTTTGGATGTTTCGGGCATGATCAATCTGACGAAGAGCAAGGCAGTTTTTGGGAGGTGCAGCTTGGGTTTTGGTTGGGACGCTTCGAACGGTCATTACCTTCAGGTCCAACACACGGGGATGCGCTCCGGCGAGCTCACTTTTTGGCCGCACACCAACAGGACACGCGACACGTAACATATACAACGCAACACGCTGCACATCTTGCTTTTGCCTTTACTCACTTTCATTCACATTCACGCTCAGGCTCTGCATGTTGCGTGCCTAGAGTGGTTGAATTCAGTTACATTTTACATGATGCAGCGACGTCCGGCAAAGCATCTCAGTGATGAGACAGCTTATGCGAAGAGATGAGGCTAGCGGCTAGCGCCACGGGCTTATGTCTTTATTTCTTTCCTTTTGCCTGTCTCCCCCTCCTTGCCAACGGCTCTGGCGTGTTGCCGCATGTGGCAGCTACCTCATCCGTGACCATGATGACACCGCAGCCTTGCGCGCCACGACGTGCATGTGAAAGTGCTATATCGCTGGCACCGAGGTGCTTCTTCTTGTACGTGCGATTCAACAGCCAGACCAAAGTTCTACGTGACAGTGAAGACAAGGATCGTGCTCTTGTCCCTTGAAAGTTCACTCTGCAAGCTGCGGAAATCCGAAAGGCCCTACTAAGCAGATCTGTCTCGGGCGAGGGCTTCCGGCCGCAAGCCTTTCATAGAAGCTTCTCCAGTGCAGGAAGCCGGCATGGTTGGCTACATCACGCTTCTCGGATTGACATTTCGAGCCTGCACTGCTAACTTTCATAGGTTCTGGTTTCCTATTTCGGGAATGGAACTTAAGGGTTTGGAAAAAAAAGTTAAGGCGCGAAACTCCTGAAAGCAGTGGCTCTGGAATCGATTGCGAATATTCAATTGTGCCATGCATTCGGCTTAGGTCGTGTGCTACAAACACATACTAGATCAGACGATCAGATCTTGTGATCTTATGTGGGACCCTATAAGATTCACTACAGGTAATACAGGTCGAGTATGCAGTGTGCAGCTACTTTATTCATGCATGATTCCATGTGATGCTCCCGGTGGACGTGCTGACAGTGAACACGGTGCCGAGCTGAGATCGCACCAGCGTGTGGGATGCTGAGAGACGTGGAGGGGGGGGGGGGGTAGGGGAAGGGGGATGGAGGAGAGATTGAACTAGTGACCATGTTGTCTAGCAAGTGTGCAGTTCTCAGAGTTTACCATATGTCAGATATCTGCGCACTGAAGGTGACTGCTGGGACTTTGCACCAGCAACCGACCAATCAAGCAGGACAAGATCGCGACGGCCAGGGCCTTGAGCACTGTGCTGAATGCATCTGGCTGTGCGGATTTGTGTATTTGTGTCAATACTATGCTCTTTCGAAACGAGACAGCTCCTGGTGACTCCTGGCGCTATTTTTTGGTCCGAACTCGTTCTATGAGAGGAGCGAGATAAGGGCACCGCTTCAAACGAGATCAGGCAGAGCCAGGCACCGGGGCACCACTTCGAGATAAGTGAGACTTGAATAAACGCAGCGGTTCATGTCCATGTTTAACAACATTATATCTCGCCACAACTCTTGCACATCGGCTGGCAAGCACACAGCATGAGCTGACATCATGCAGTGACCATGAGGCCACTTAGCTATGGCTGATCGCTCGTCAGTTAGGCCGAGGCGGCGGAGGTCCAGTGACAGGACCATACCAATACCGTGGCTGGGTCTTGAAGTTCCACTACCGCCTCCAGGCTACTTTTGTTTCGAATGGTACCCGTGGCTTGCGATACCACCACCACGGCCATGGGCGACACTCTCACCAGGACAGCAGCTTCATCCACAGCCACAAACACTACGACCATCACACCCGTCACCACCGCCATCGCCCAACCCAGAGCTGCCACAGCCGAGACGGCCACTGACAGAAGAGGAGATGCGATGGCTGGGCCCTCAGCCACTTTCACCACCACCACCACCACCACCACCACAACAACAACAACAACAACCACGTATGGAAGCGGCAAGGAAGAAAGCCAAGCGGTCGCGCAGTGATGAGTGATCAGTGATCCGTGGGCCCGTGGGTGAA